ATCACCATCAAGACAATGCCGCCAATGCTCAACCCGAAAATTTGCTCAGGAGGTCATCTAGGTCTAAAAGGCCTACTAACTTTGATGATTATGTTACCTACCTGACTGAAGCAGAAATGGATGCTGGAAAGTTTACTGATCCTACCTCTTATAATGAAGCCATTAACAGTGATCAGTCTTCTGAATGGAATAAAGCCATGATTGAAGAGCTTGACTCCATGAAGAAAAATGATGTTTGGGATTTGGTTGAATTACCCAACGGTGTAAAACCCGTAGGATGTAAATGGGTCTTCAAAACAAAACTGGATCCGAATGGAAACATTGAACGCTACAAAGCGAGATTGGTTGCAAAGGGCTACACTGAGAAAGAGGGAATTGACTATCAAGAGACCTTTTCTCCTGTCTCTCGAAAGGATTCCTTAAGGATCGTTATGACCCTTGTAGCTCACTTTGACTTAGAGCTACATCAGATGGATGTCAAAACCGCTTTCCTTAATGGCGGTTTGGATGAAGAAGTGTTCATGAAACAACCCGAAGGATTCAAATCTGAAGGTCAAGAGCACCTAGTCTGTAAGCTAAAGAAATCCATATACGGGTTGAAGCAGGCATCACGTCAATGGTACCTAAAGTTGCATCAAGTCTTGAAGTCAGAAGGTTTCATAAAGAATCAAGGGGATCAATGCACCTACCTCAAGATGAGTGGGAGCAACTTCACTATACTTGTCCTTTACGTAGATGACATTCTATTGGCAAGTAATAGTTTAGACATGTTGCATGAGTCCAAGCGCTTACTCTCGCGTAATTTTGACATGAAAGATCTCGGAGAGGCTTCTTATGTTATTGGCATCGAAATACACCGAGATAGAATCAATGGTATTTTGGGATTATCTCAAAAGGCCTACATTGAGCGAGTCCTTACACGTTATAACATGCAACATTGCTCTCCTTCTGTGGCTCCAGTAGTTAAGGGAGATGTTTTCGGTTTATTTCAATGTCCGAAAACAGAGGTTGAAAAAGAACAGATGAGAATGATACCTTATGCGTCAGTAGTAGGAAGCCTTATGTATGCACAAGTCTGTACTCGTCCAGATATTGCTTACATTGCTGGAATGTTGGGTCGTTATCAGACTAATCCTGGTCTGGATCACTGGAAAGCAGCTAAGAAAGGTATGGATTAAATTTGAAGAAACCCGATCTAGATTTTAGGGAATCAAAACATTATTATTGATTTCCAAAGCACTTAATTTTTGGGTTTTTTTTTGTTTTTGTTTTGTGCGATGTCAGTAACCAATTATTACAGAGTATAACTAAACGATTTTGCAAAAACATGAAACAACAATCAATCGGAAATCCATTCTTGTTAGGGTAAAACTGACTTCCGATTGCAATTTCAATAACTTGTTAGGGTGCGATCATACCAGCACTAATGCACCGGATCCCATCAGAACTCCGAAGTTAAGCGTGCTTGGGCGAGAGTAGTACTAGGATGGGTGACCCCCTGACAGCTAAGAAAGTTCTTCGATATCTACAAGGGACAAAAGATTATAAACTGACTTACAGAAGGAGTGATAATTTAGAAGTGGTTGGTTATTCTGATTCTGATTTTGCTAAGTGCAAAGATGACAAGAAATCCACTTCAGGGTATATCTTTATGTTAGCTGGCGGACCTATCTCGTGGAAGAGTCATAAGCAAGAGTTGACTACAACTTCTACAATGATGGCAGAATACATTGCGTTGTACAACGCAACCTGTCATGGAATGTTGCTTAGAAACCTCATCACTGGACTCAAAGTAGTTAATTCCATCTCTCGACCATTGAAGCTTTATTGTGATAACTCAGCCGCCGTTAGTTTCTCGAACAGTAACAGTTCGACTGGCGCTGCTTTATATCTTGATACAAAGTACTTGTTCGTACGTGAGCGAGTTGAGGAAAATAAACTTTGTATTGAGCATATAAGTACTAAGAATATGCTTGCGGATCCGATGACTAAAGGTCTCCCTCCTAAGATTTTCGAAGAACATGTTTCGAAGATGGGGTTATCTAAAGACCTTATTTAGTTGCATATTGTACTTGCTTACATTTAATAATAAAATTTCCTCATTGTTTTGTTTGTTTAGTCTCTGAATGTGTCTATGCATGCCTAAAGACATATAGACAACATTTATATATAAAATAATGCTATGGGCTTAATTGTCAATTTCATCCTTAGCTTATTTAAGTTTTAAATTTGGTATTGTAGTATGATTAATGGGGGTCTTGAATTGAATATCGATTCAATGACTGTATTTCTCTGCTACAATTCCGGTTTAGAACTAAAATGAGTATTAAAATCTGATCAGACTTATCTAATACTCATCATAAATGATTACTCGGCCAAGTGAGAGAATGTTGGACACGATTTTATTATGTGGCCTGAGTTATCATTTATCTAATTAATTGATCATTGACTTAATAAATTCCCTACAATTTAATTGGTAATTATTCGATGGACGTAATTACCCTTATGACCTAATTAGGGTTTCCCCTTGGGTGTATATATATATAGAGAGAGGTCATTAGGCAGTGATTAACACACCAATCTTACGCCTCCTCTCTGTCTCTCTATTCTCGTGAGTCTCGCCCTCACCTTAGCTATCATAATGATACACCCTAAACGGGAACTCGATCTGTGTGAGAATCATGACCTCATCCCTAACTACGTTTACAAGATTATCAAGTACACATGATTAAATCTCTAATTTATATTTTATGTTTAAGAATTGATCAACACGCATCTGCTCTGAGAAAGAGTCGGTGTCGAGAATGTGGTTCGAGTGGAGCGAGCACGACTGCCGTCGTGACTCCGGCGGCATGACGGCCGTCGACGTGGAGGCGTGTGGGGACATGTTTCTGGAGTCCCCCTGTTTCGGGAAAGACATTGTCTCTCTTTACCGAAGGTTTGTGAACCCAAAAAAATCATTCAAAATTCTTTTTACTATAATGG